GAGACCATATGTCACTAATTAAAAACAGTAGTGTTAGATTAGAGGCTCGTTTTAGAAATCCGCTTCAACGCACAATATATGCGGTTATTTACGCCACATATGATTCTATAATTGAGGTATCATCAAGAAGACCGGTCCTCATTGACTTTTCAACTTTAACAAACGATAGTATGAATATGATAGAACTGTCAAATGTACTTGATAAGGTAGTAAAGCAAGGCGTCTTTCTTGGAGTATTTGCTAGTGACCAACTTCCTAAGTCAGTTATTAAAAAGAGATCCACCATGTTGGTGGTAAACACAGACCCCTCCCACCTGGGAGGACAACACTGGGTCGCTATCTATATTGACAAGCAGGGTGTGGGATCATTCTTTGACAGTTTTCGGAACTCTCCGGTATACTCACATTTTTGGATTGAAACGTGTACGACAGTGTTTTTTGTTATTATGGTGATATATAAAAACACTTTGAAATGATAAAGTAATGTCTCTATGTATTTATTTAAAACCAACAACAATATACAATTAAAAAGTTATCCAATCACTCTTAGGAGATACAAATGGACTTGTTTCATTGTTTGCTAATCGATGTCCTCTCGTAACGACGATCAAGCAGTGATGGAGTGGAGAACCGGGGTAGAAGTACTGTGGGAGATGAGGCTGATTGCTGGCAGGTGTGGCAGGCAGAGGGGGTGGCTGACGAGGTGCAGGTGCGGGTCATTGGCTGGGCTCAGGAGCGAGAGAGAGAGAGAGAGAGAGAGAGAGAGAGAGAGAGAGAGAGAGAGAGAGAGAGAGAGAGCACACACGGGGGAGGAGACACAGGGAGGCAGGCAGAGTACAGAGAAAAAAATAGGGACAAAACAGAATCACAGACAAAAAAAAGGAGAAATAATAATTTTACCTTTTAAAACATTGCTAAGCTATTTTGCATAACACTACCAAAAGGTCTGGTGATGCAGATTTAATAATATTTACTCTCTGAGATGGAGATGCTCCGTGCATAGTTTGCAGTAAAGACAGGTTTCTTTTAATGCAATCAGACATGTTAATTTACTTTCTCTTAGGCACATACACAACAGGCAGGTCTGAAAGCAAGTCAAAATACTTTAAATGCTTTAAAATCAATCATCAAGTAACCATAAGGAACACTCGTGGCGTCGTTGAAACAATCCATAAAAAAATGACTCTTCCCAGGAAACATTTGTCTAGCCATTAGCATGACTTGGTATTTATCGCTGGGATTTTTAAACAAAACAAGATAATTGGTATTCAAATTAATAGTACGGCTAACTTTGCCTTGAAAACAACTAAATTTCTATGATGCACACATTTTGTAAACGCATTTTGGACCTCAATGTTATTTCTAGCATCATTCATTAAATCATCAATAATCAACAAATTGTTTTTATCTAAAGGCAACAATGTATCATCGCATAAAGAAGATGGCAATCCTTCAACTGGTCACACAATGGTTGCCAACACGAAAAAATATATACAACATTTTCAGTCTGTTTTGAAATGAGCTTATCGGCATTTTCAATCAACATTTTCACAAAATATGATTTACCGCTGTTTGAAGGACGTGACACAATTAGACTAAAAGGATGTTGTAGTCTAAAATCAAAACCATCAGTCTCCCTAACAGCCATAATGTCGACGCTCATGTGATGCAGGATAAAACTGGAAAAAAAGACTTCAGCCCTGACGTATTTTGTTTACTAGCTAATAATTAAGATGTTGCAGGCAAAACACATGATCGGTCTAAGAAAGTAACACAGAAGACGACAATACAGTAAGTAGAAAGAAATGTTATTACAATATAGGTGACAACAACTAACGCCAGTTCCCTAGCAAAGGTTGCACATAAAGAGGAGAAATGAGAAATGGCGACTCACACAGCAGAAGGATGAAACTGTTTGAAGTGAATAGTCCTACAACTGTGTAAATATATCAAAATATTACCTCTGAGTCATATAGGCTTAAAGCCTAAAGCCTTTCTAAATAATCAGACACTTGTTTGATTGATTCTCCCTGAGGTTTGGTATAAAAAAACCCCATAATTTAAGATACACATTTATCCAAAGCGACTTACAATTGCTATACATGCCAGAGGTCACACGCCTCTGGAGCAACTAGGGGTAAAGAGTCTTGCTCAGGGACACAATGGTGGATGTCTCACAGTGGGAATCGAACTCAGCTCTCCCACACCAAAGGAAAGCATCTTATCTATGTGCCATCACTACCCCATACACACAAAAAGAACCATGACTGAGGATAATAAACACATGTGGAGATTCTGTTTCTGCAAAATTAACACCTCAAATGTTTTGGACCATTTAATCAGGAATCATATTAATTACTTGTATGCATTACAATTTATTATCATAAAAAAGGTGAACAGGAGGACAAATTACATTTAAATTGGTGCCGTTTTCAGTGCGTCAGTCGAGCAAATACTAGTGCATAGTTTCATACTATATTGTTATTACATGTTCGCTTCCTAATCAAGCCAAACGCTGTGCGCCAGCGTATGGATGTGATGCGCTGTTTGTTATGTAAAATAACATTTTTTCATTTCATTTCATTGTCGTTTACAACAAGTCACTAGCTATTTCTTTTAACTCATCGCCATCATTGTTAAGTGAGTGGATTGTTTGTGTAACATAAATACATGTTTAAACACAGATGGAATGCATTTGGTTTACTCTCTTTTCAAACGGGGGAATCCAAATTAGTACCGGGATCATCCCGTCTTGCGGGTGTGTGTGTGTGTATGTCCCCTTCGGTCAGGGACATCACTACTCAGGAGGAGTAGAACATATGGGATAATGGAAATAAAGGAAGACATTTATACAAGATTCAGCCGAAAGTGGAGGAGGAAAAGGCACTGGGGAATAGCAGGAGAGAACAGTGTCAATTTAGCAGAATTAGACTAGGTCACACACAGTTAAATGCATCTCTGCACCTTGTTGGAAAACATCCATCTGGAAATTGTGAGGCATGCAATCAACCAGAAACTGTGGAACATGTGCTGTTTGAGTGCACTAAATACTCAAACGAAAGACTGGCTTTAAGAAATTGACTGGAACATGATGGAATTAAACAAATGGACATTAAAACTATTTTCTCAAATAACTCCGGAAAGATGGTGCTCAAACACATCTCATCCTTTCTACAACAAACTGGACTGAAGGATTTAGGCAGAAGTAACTAAGATACAGTAGGGGGCGATAATGCTCCATCTCGTTGCAAGTCGCCAGGAAGAAGAAGAAGAAGAAGAAGAAGAAGAAGGAAAAACATCTTATTTCTTCAAATGCCTGTTTCCTCAACTCCTCTCTCCTGGCGTCTCCTCCTCGACTCCTCCAGCTCCCATCTCGGGTGGGAGGGACTAAAATGCGCCGCAAGGAGTCGAGGAGGCAGAAATTTGGGAAATGAGAAAGGCCCTAAAAAAAATCGGTCTTACACTCTGCATGTTTAACCTGAAACCCTCCTGAACATTACAGGCTGTGGTGTTCAATTATGGATGTAAGCTATACTTTGAAGAACAGGACTGGCAGATTTATGGCACATTATTTTTGACACAACAGATAATGTTCCATTTGCAACTTCAATCACAAAGATTTGTATAAAATATATCCAGTGTTAAAAGTTCAAGATGAATGTCAGCTTTTGTTTACACTCACTTTTGTTTTATAATGTATTGACCTTTAAATACCCAAATTCTCAATAGTTAACTTGTGTAATGACTACTAGAGATACTTCTACTGCTAATTAGTTAGACATAGTAGAGGGGGCTGTAAACTAAAGGGAAGAAAACAAACCAATATTCAATAATTAATCATTTATAATAAAAGGGAGAATTGCACCGCTGGCACCATTAAAACACACTTAACATAACAGGAATATAACAAGGCTGTGCAGCAATAATTGTGTCACACCAGAGGAAAACATTTAAAAAGAATTATGCTGAAGGCTTTAAACTTCATTCACAGCAACTTTTTAATACTCAGCAAATTAGAGCCAAAAGGACAACAGGCTCATTACTGTCCACACAGCCAATTTCTGTTACCACACTGGATCCCAGTAAACAAATAAAGATTATTACTGTGGTAATATGAGCACAGCGGATAAATCTCATAAAAATTAAGTTGAAGAGGAGATAATGTCTCCTCTCACAGATGCTGTTAAAGACGTGCATTCTTCATCCTGACTGCAGACTCACCTGTGAGTGATTGTTGAGGTGAACCGGGACAATAACTCAGCCCAGGAATTAAAGTGCATCCATCTTTGCCTTAACAGACACTTGACATTCAGTCTAATGGGAAGAACTGCCTTCAGACTCTGTCCAGGTAAGCTACAAATGTCTAACACACTTTAACTTCGGTGAAGAGGAGACTCACTGATTCTGGTGAAGCAATAAGAAAAAAAATCTGTTTATTCCAGTCCTTGTGTGTGTTATTGGCTCTCTTTCTTTCTCTTAATCAAGCTGAAATGGAGAAAGAATAAAAGCACTTACACACCCTTTTCTCTCTTATTCAATTTCAGTGATGTACATTGTTTTATATGAACTTGCATGGTGGATTTTAGCTTTGTTTTGTGTGTTTTTAAATCTATGTTATGTGTTTAAAAAAATCTTTGTGCATCCATAATGTGTTTGTTTTACCTACCTGCAAGAAAACGGTGTTAAAGTTACTTCCCCGGATTATATTTATTGTAGATATGCTAGGTAGATGGTGGTGCATCAGAACATAAAAACTCATGGATTAAAAGGGTAAATGTGTTGTCCCCCTTGCAACATGCACTGGAAAATGTGATTATTTTGGCCTATTGCAAGGACTTGTTGTACAACTTAGTACAATTAATTAATTAATTACAGGTAACAAAAAACTGTAAACAACACGTTATTATTACACCTGTATATAATTGTCCATATGGGGCTCCCTCGGCGTCTCTTGGGTCACTCTGGAACGACGCTGATTTGTACGGGAGATGACGTAAGCGCGTCCGCAGCCTAGCAGCAGACCTGACGGCGTAAACAAAGCAGACAGCTATAATTGAGCTAACGCTAAGTGACTATTGTTTCGTGGCTAAAATACTTACTGTAGCTGCAATAGGTTATATACGAAACCCCGTTTTAATGTAATGGTGAGCACAACTTTCATTCGCACGGTAAAGGACTTACTCATGGGCTGAGGCTGAAACTAAACGAGTTAACAAGGTGTCGTTATCGCTAGCTACATTAGCTTTAGCTAATAACGGGACTCGGATTTTGTAGTTCTGAAAATCGATTTTAACTAACATTTATCGACAACATATGGCAACAGCCACTTTGTTTATCAGCGCTGGTTACGCCGATCATTTTTAAAAAGCTGCTAACGTTGACGCTATCACGAGTTAGCTTGCTATGTAGATAATTTAGGCGATCAGCTGTTTAAACAGGGTTGGCTAGTGGTGTGGCGATTCTGGCTAGATGACCACTTGATTGCAGTCATCTGGCCTCCGACTGCGATGTTTAGCCTGATGGCGAATTGCTGCAACTGGCTGAAACGCTGGCGGGAGCCTGCAAGGTAAGTTAGGGGATGTTACGATGGCAAATCCTTTGATCCTGCTGCCCCTAATCATTCAGCTCAAATCAGTTCGTTTCAGTAGTTTGCAAGAGTGAGTCCAGTTTGTAGTCACTGTAATACGACTGGTTTGATGTTTACAGTCAAAGTAGTTAACTCTAATCCAATGTTTTACACAAAATGTTAAAACTGCTACAACTTCTGAATTATCAGGAGAACCTAATCCTTTGTAAGAAATCAAGCTCGGATTTGTTTATGATCTTAAATGAATGATGTAATGATGTGCAAGACAGTACATAACAGGGGCTTATTACGGATATGTTTAGTGCTGGAATGATAAGTTGATTAACTAGCTTTTGTCTGTATTATTAAAAGGTAAATAAGTAGCTTCTTTACTATGAGTTGCTGATTTTCTGTTTTTATTTTTATTTTTACTGTAAATCAAATATCTTTTGTCATTTGAACCTCCTTGGGTTTTGGGAAATTGAGAGAAAAAAAAAATTGTGTGTGTAAAGTATTTAGAGTTGCCTTGTTGTTTTAAAAGTACTGTACAACTAAATTTGCCTTGCCTATTGTTGGACATTTTATAGCGCAAACAGTTAATCGATTAATCAAAATAATCAATAAAATATTAATGTTAGTACTTTATTTCAACCGTCTTGGATTATAAATGGCCCAGTGTCGCTCTTCTGTTCTGTATCACACCTCCTTATTCTCAGTATTTTTTTAGTGTGAAGCAGCAGGACCAACAAAAGGTAATTGGGAGTGCTTAACCCACGTGGTACCTGTGAGGCGTCTGATCCTTTGGACTTAGTCAGAAATCCCCACCTAATCCTGCTGCCAGGTTCAGTGGGTCTCTTCCTTCTGGAGTGTTTGGCTGTGAGGGGTTTGTAGCAGCGTGGACAAAGAGGTCATGGGTTAGCGTAAAGGGGTCCGACACCGTCGCACCTTTTTTGGAGGTTTATAGCAAGCGGCTACCCTGATGAAGGCCAACTGGCTCCAGAGGACGGTTAGATGGATAGTGCGGTTGATGTCTTTTCGGCGGAAGTGTCAAAGTTAAGTATGCATCCAGGAGACGAAGACGGGTTGTGTTTATGTGTCCGATTTTAGATTTATGTACATCTCTTCGTAGGTCTGTGCAGTTTATGTCTCGTGTATATTCAGTGGATAAACTTATTTCCTTTATTTTATATTTTGTGTTTTGGTCCTTTTTCCGGCTGCAAAACAACAACAGCTGTTAAGATCACAAGATAAGCATCTGCTGAAAGGGTTTTTTCAAGGTGCTAAATGTCTCACTATTTAAAAAAAAACAAACATCCTTTTGAAGGTTCTCTTCAAGAATTGGTTTCAGATTCTCCTGTAATATTGTGAGAACTCTATATTTAAATTTATTTTGGTTAGTTGGGGCTAAATGTACTCGTACTGTGATTTAGAGCTGCAACTATTAGTCAATTTATTGATTAGTTGTCACCTATTAAATTTATCTGCAACTATTTTGATAACAGATTAATCGCTTTGAGTACTTTTTTTTTTTAAAGAAAAAACATCCAAATTCTCTATTTTCAGCTTCAAACATGTCAATATTTTAGTTTCTTTCCTCCTCTGTGACAGCAAACTGAATTTATTTTCATTTATTTATTTTTGTTTATTTCGCATATATATTAAAAAGAAACGTCCGACAAGAAAATACAATCAAATAAACAAATCAAAATGATTAAATAATGCAATAATAAATAAATGAATAATAGTTACAGCCAAAGAAATTATTTGAAACAATTTCCTTACATAATATATTTATATTTAAATATATTTGGGTTGTGGACAAGAAAGACATTCGAAGATGCTACTTTGAGCTTAGGGAAACACTGATCAACATTTTTCACAATTTTCTGGACCTAACAACTAATTGATTAATTGAAAAAATAATAGACAGATTAATCTATAATGGAAATAATCGTTAGTTGCAGCCCTACTGTGATTATGCCCCTGTTTAGACAGACGGGTTGCTAATGATGGTGCAAATATTGACCTGCTTTCAGAGTTACACTTGACACTTGTGATATCTGGACGATTGAGAAACTTGGTGGCGAAAGTCTTCCCCGCTCTTTACCCATGTTGCTTTTAGAAATGCACCATATTTTTAAACATTCATATTGACACCAGAATGCATTTTAAGTCCCAGTATAAATGCATGACCTATGTATACAGAAATGTATCTAGATGTTCAAAACACAGAAAAAAATCTATTTGCATACTTCACAATCGGCCAAATATTATTAGACTAACCATCAGTACTAATATCACCTTGGCTTGTGCTGACTCACTCAGTCCACTGTGCAGATCTGTGATTGAGAGACAATTACAGATTATTAATTGGCTTATCTGTGCCCCCAAATGCGTCATGAGAGCTAATGCCAGCTAATGTAGCTCAGAGGCCGAACGTTTGGACGCGGGGCTCCATATTCGGCATCAGGTGGTCCCTCCTCTGGACCCGACTGATTGTAGTGATGTCTGTATTTATGTGTACATACTTTTTCCCTTTCTTACCCAACAGGAAAGTGACTCTGGTTATGGTGGGACTGGATAATGCAGGGAAGACAGCCACAGTAAGAGGAATCCAAGGAGGTGAGCACTGTTTGTAATAAATGTGTATTTAGTGTTTTGCATTTTTCTTCTTTTGAAAATCTTCGTAAATAATAGAAAAGTTGAGTTTGTAAACTGTGTTCTTCTTGTTTACTCTGAATAAACTGCCTCACATACTCTCCCATTTAGTATTTATTATGTATATTTTACATCCTACTGCATGACAGATATGCCTAGCTGCTTTGTATATTTCATCATTGCTGATACATTTTTTAAAACTCATGCAAAATTAGTTTTATTATTAACATGATTTCTGTTTTCAGAGAATCCCCAGGATGTAGCTCCTACAGTGGGGTTTTCCAAGGTTGACCTAAAGCAGGGCAAGTTTGAGGTGACTATCTTTGACCTGGGTGGCGGGAAGAGAATCCGGGGCATATGGAAGAACTACTATTCAGAGTCGCACGGTGTGGTGTTTGTGGTGGACTCCAGCGATGTCCAGAGGATCCAGGAGACACGGGACACCATGGCCGAGGTCCTCCAGCACCCGCGCATCGCAGGGAAACCTGTGCTAGTGTGAGTGCTCCGCCATCCAAGGAAATTATACTGGAAAAGGGCTAAAAAAAATCATAAAGTTGTATATTTAAAATGCGGTTAAAAACTCACTTGTTAAAGCACAGAGGGAGAGGTGTAAAGGGTGTGGAGATAATAGAGAAATTGTCTGGCTTTAGTCCAATTTGTGGACTATTACTGGAGGCATATGCTCAGTCATTAATCAGGACATATTTTTCCAGTAATGGAGAGACTGTTCTAATCAACAATCCACAATCAGGGCGGAGTCACATTTCCAGATTTCTAGCCACTGTGCACCTTGCAAAGATTTAGTTTGATAAGTGACCTAGCTACAACCCCTTTACCTTTCTTTTCAAAGTTTTCTTACACAGTACTGTGCAAAAGATTTCCAGGTGTGGAAACAATGCTATAAAGTAAGAATGCTTTCAAAAATAGACGTGTTAATAGATTATATTTATCAATGAACAAAATGCAAAATGAGTGACCAGGAGAAAAATCGACCACGCTTTGCCTTCAAAACAGCATCAGTTCTTGTGGGTACACTTGCACATAGTTTTTGAAGGAACTCGACAGGTAGGTTGGCCCAAACATCTTGGAGAGCTACCCACAGTCCTCCTGTGGATTTAAGCAGCCTCAGTTGCTTTCTCTCTCTCCTACTTTAGCTTTGTTTTCAAGACTACAATGTCTGATCTCTTTATTCCTTTCTGCTTCCAGGCTTGCCAACAAACAAGACCAGGAGGGAGCGTTGGCTGAAGCAGACATTATTGAGAACCTGTCGTTAGAGAAGCTTGTTAACGAGAACAAGTGTCTCTGTCAGATCGTAAGTGTTTGTGCACCTGTTGTGGAACGTCATTTCAATGACATTAAGGGCATTTGGTTTATCTGCAGTTACACACACACACACACACACACACACACACACACACACACACACACACACATATATATATATATATATATATATATATATATATATATATATATATATAAGAGAGAGAGAGAGAGAGAGAGACCAGGCTTGTTTTGGTTTTAGAAGAGTTCATTCTCATTCTGTACCCCAGGGCAGCTTAAGGTATCATGTAGTCTGGTGACTGCTGTCTTGCAAAACCACATGTGTTGCATCTTTCAGCACTGAGAGGTGCTGGTGAAGTCCTACCTCTAAACATATGTTCCTTCCCCAGGAGCCATGCTCGGCAGTTCTGGGCTATGGCAAAAAGGTTGACAAGTCCATCAAGAAGGGCCTGAAGTGGCTCCTCAACAACATCGCCAAGGACTACGAGGCCATTACTGAGCGCGTGCAGAAGGACACGGCCGAGCAGCGTGCTCAGGAGGACCAGGACAAGAAGGAGAGGGCGGAAAGAGTAAGGCGGATACGAGAGGAGAGGTGAGGATATCGAAAAGACAATCGACATACGCGGAAACAGATTCACAAGTTATATAAAGTTTCACTTTCACTGCAAAACTTTGTACCCGCTGTCCTAATCCAGAAAATGGATGCCCCGTTTTGTGGAATTCAGAAAAGTGAAAAACCGATAAGGAAAGAAATTTATGTTTGAAGCAATAAAGGAGAGAGAAGATGGTAAGAGTGGAAGAAATGAACCAGGAAACTAGTGTGCAATCTCCCTGCCTGCATAATACATTAAAAACATTATTTTAACTGTGCTCTGTTACTATGAAGTAACAATAAAAAATACATTTATTTAAACAAAAACTCCCACTGAATGGTAGAAATAGTTATTAAAATCTGACCTCGGATCAGTTTTTCTAAATGTAACTTTATCCTGTTAACATCTTCTGCCCGCAGAGAACGGCAGGAGCGGGAAGAGGCAGAACGTGAGGGCAGGCAGATCCAGGAGGAGGAGCCTGATGATGAAAACATGCACAGCCCCTTCCAACCAATCAGCAACGCGATCTCTGAGGTGTGTGTGTGTGTGTGTGTGTCTGTCTCTAACAGTTGTGTACAAACACCACAGGATAGTTGAAGACTTCCAGGTGTATTATAGTCCAAAGAGCTCAGGAAAGATTTTGGTGTGTCCCTTTCAGAGCGAGGATAAAGAAAAGGAGAAGACGATGCAGGAGGCCCGGGCCAACAGCCCGAACACAAACGATGATCAAGAGGAGGATGAGGACGACAACGATGAAGAGCCAGATGACACTAGACAAACAGCAGGAAATGCCAGTTCAGGTGAGCAATAAATCTTTGAAACGACTTCAAACCTCAACATTTCTGAACGTTAAATGTGCTTTCTACCAGAATGGATGGTGAGGCGGAGCTTGTAGATACATAGAAAGCAAGCTATTAAATCTGTTTTCGCTTTGAAAGCCAATGATTAAACAAACGCCTGGAGACTGCAGTATATATTTGAAAGAGATATCCAGTCAAATTAAGCAACTGTCTGAAATATATCTTTTTCTTCACTCAGCTCAGAGTACTGAATATCTCATGGACAAAGATAATTAAGCTTTATGAATTAAGGGACAAAAAAAGATGGCAGTGGGCAACAATTAAAAATGGTCTACTCTAGTGATGAAAGTGCTTTGATGATTCTTGGCTTACTTAAGAAAATATTATTATTCTTCTTGTCGCAAATCCTGGTTAACATTTCTTTTATTAAACGTTTCTGTACGGACAGCCACAACAGGCGAGCAAGACAAGAAGAAGACGACGAGGAAGCTGCACCTGAAGAGGAAGCACAGGGTGGACCCGCTGAGGACCGAGGACGGGCCAACACAGAGCCCCACCCCTCCACCTCCTCCAGGTCAGTCTGTGCATCATCATGAGCTGCCGTCATATGGCGTTTTCCCACATGCTTGATCCTGGCGACTAGAGAGGAGTCCTTTTAAAGTACTTTTGTCACTTCCTAGTTCCAAATATCAGCTTAATGTAGCAGTTTGCTGGTCGAATCCGATCTGTGATTAGTTACAGCTAATGCAAACTAAACACTTCCTCCTGGTGATCTTTTACATTGAAAGTTTTTCACCCGTGAACCAGCATGAAGCAGCTATTGAAAACACCTACTGTACATATTTGCTTGGTTATCTTCTGTTCTTAAATAAAAACTGGCGGACACATTTGCCGCTATTTGGTCAGCTGATCCAGTTTTAGATATTCTAGTGAGGAACAGGACGTGCAGAAAGATAACCACAGTGAGCTGTCATATGAAGTGCTACAAGCAACAGGCTGTTCTGTGGTTTGTGCAAACAAAAACACTGCCAACACGTCGCCAACACGTCGCCAACACGTTTTTATCTTGCTGTGCTGTCCTTTAAAAAAACAAAAAACTTGCCCTGTGTCACAGCTGCTCATGGCTCAACTTGAGGCAAGCATCCTCACCCCATATCAAAAACCTCAATAGAGCACTTTGACAGCTGGTGATGAAATTGCAGGACAGGGACTGAGTGATGAAGGGAAGGGAAGGTGCTTTAGTTGTTGAACTGCTTGATCGTGACTTCTGATAATTCTTTGATAAAATTAAGCAAGTGTCACTGCCTAGCTATAGATTGTCAAATGCACTGTACCGTTGTCATTGTTGTTAATCCTCCTCCGATCTGTTAAGGGGTCAGATCAACCAGATCCAGAGAAGGAGCATGAGGATCATTTCTGTCTTTCTGATCAGTGTTTCTTTATTTTTTATTTCTATAGTGGGATGGGCTACACCCAAAGTTTCTAGGCTGCCAAAACTAGAGCCACTCGGGGACTCGAGACATTCTGGTAAAGCTGCCTGTAAAGTCCGACTGTTCTTCATCACTCACTGTTAACTGCTGTTTCATTTCATGTGTTGCTTCCTTTTTTGTTACGAAGCCACATCAGCCATTCACTTTGTCACTAACCCCGGCCTTTGTGTGGATTTAACATTTTAACAACTGTCCTGACACCGACTCGGTGTTTCCTGTGCAGCAACACGTTGGATGTAATTTAGTTTCGAAAATTTTCCTTTGTAGTTTTATCATAAAAAATAAAAATACATAATTGCGCTAGATTAGGTTTTCAAAAGGAGAAAGTCTGGTGGGTTTGTTTGTTTCACAGCAGCAGTGGTAAATTACTCTGTGGTGTTGCAGAGGAAACGCTGAACTCTGTCTGCCTTACGATGTGTGTTGACTCTTAATTGGGATCCCAGACCCACATCCCTGTCTCTCTCTCCTCCCGCATCTCACCAAGCATATGCTTGAATGTGTGTGGATCCTTCATGGTGGCAGACATCTTAATCAACTCAAAGGCTTGTCTGTGTATTTATTCACATTTCCCCCAACCCCTCACAGTCTACATATCCCATCTACCCCTGTGCAACAACTGCCATGGCTAATGTCTTTCTCTTTTTCCTTGTATTGTAGTGTTTTCATTTCAGGACTCGATGGATATAGTTTAATAACATAGTCAACCTTTTTGTTGTTTTTTTTTTTATCCATCCCCTCCACAGAATTTTACAAGAAGCCTCTCCCGCCTCTTGCGAACAGGCCGCGGCCTAACGGTGACGCTCATGACATCATTTTTTAACCTCCTCCAATCACAGCTCTCCCCCTTTTTTATTTTCTTTTATTTTGCTTTGTGTCTCAAGCGAGCGGTGTGTAGACAACCAAGCACAGAGACACTGCAGACAAGACGGACGACTCCTGCCACGGGAGCCGGTGAGCGCTGAAGTGCGACGGACACGGAACCCTGGAGCAACATGGAAAATGAAGACCTGCTCAGAAGCTGTTGTATGGTTTCACAAGCTCACACAACTCAGTGTAAATCGCCGAACCTGTATGAACTGATTTTATGTCAGGTTCTTTCTTCACTTGACGTAAGCATGTTTGGTGCGGAACTTTTTCCGCAACTGTAGACTGAAACTTTATTTTTTATTGTTTATATCAGTGTTAGACAGCGTGGACCCCATTTGTCCAGCTGAGATGCTTTTAATTGACAAAGAATGTAAATATGTCCGCTATAACCTTTATATATGTTTATCTGTTACTGAATAATGGATTTGTATACACGGCGCCATTAAAAATGATCATATTTTAGTTATTTATATATTTTGCACCTTTGGTTTTGTAGTGTAAACAAAGGTGTATATGATATCGGGGGATGAACCTGAATATAGAGGTCTTAAGTTTTTGTTTTTTTCCACAGCTGAGTGTTTTAAACGCCATCTTTTTCAAGTCAGAAACACTTCCCTTTTTTATTAGTTATGTGAAATGAGGACGAGTCACAGCTTGCAAGTGGAAGTAGGTGAAATGTGTGTCACTTGCTACACTACACTGTACTGTAAATGGATGTTACACTAAATCATGATTGTTAATTGGTCATATTTACGTACTGCAAAGTTTTTATGGCTTTGAAAAGAAAATCTGTAATAGCGAAAAATCTTTTGTCTCTTGGCAGCAGCATCATAAAGGATCTTGTATTTTTATTTATTGTTAAAATTTAAACATATGAAAATTTATTTGTCTACAGGGCTAAAGATTTTTTTTTTACTCATTCTGCTGTTTACACTGTGTATCTGTTTTTAAAGTGATATTTCTCCTGAGGCAGGAATCAGCCTCAGACTTGCTGCCTCTCAGGTGGCCCTGACGTGTGAGCCAGCACAGTTGTTCCGGCTTTTCTGCCTCCTGTCTTCTGCACCCATTCTCACTTTGAAAATAGCTAAAATTGCGTCTCATGAAGCACAGACACAAATCTGAAAAAAAACAAACAAAAAAACTTGGAACGATTCATCGCCCCAGTTAAGTTTCTGTGTGTTGGAAGAGTTTGCAGCGGGACGATGAGGGAAGAGAAAGTAACACTACCCCGACACCTGGAACAGCCAATACTGGGTCAGAGCACATGAGAATATGTGTAGCAAAAGTAAGCACATGAAATATCACTTTAAAACTACAATATTTCAAATCTACAGTACAACGCTCTTGTTAATGAGCTAGATGTTTGAGGAAATATTTTTTCTACCCAGTTTGAATTTTATAACCGCACAATTAAAGATGTTTTAAATATATCCTCTTGGTTGATTAAGATTCCATTTGTGTTTGTTTTTCTGTTTGCAGTTTTTCTATATTATGAGCAGCTGCCACTAGATTGGAAATGTTGTGTCTGTTGCTCTGGAGTGTTTTATTTTTGGCTCAACATGAACATCAGTTCATCACCCAGTACCTGCTTCGCAAACACCTGTCCTGCTGATATTTAGGGCCCGAGCACGAACCGTGCGAGGTCCCTATTGAAATTGTAAAGATTATTAGGGCCCGAGCACGACCATGCGAGGTCCCTATTGTATTTGTAAAGATTATATTTATTTAGGGCCCGAGCACGACCGTGCGAGGTCCCTATTGAATTTTTCGTGCATTGACGGAAAAAGTTGTGCTATTTGCGAGTTTTCGTCAATGGGCGTGTCCGTGGCGTCGATGATTCGCTATGAAACAGGAAGTTGTTGTAACTTCAGTGTACATGCTCACATCTGCACCAAACTGTACATGTAGGATGAGAGTCCCGCCCTGAACACATGTACATGCCGACATTCACCCACAGTCATAGCGCCACCTGCTGGCAACGGGAAGTGACTTTTAACGAAGCAGCCACCGCCGCACGTTTCACCTACGTGCACGAATTTTCTGTGGTACGTGTATCTTGTCCAGACGCACAAAAAAGCCTCTTGGAGCGATGCCCTAAAACCAACAGGAAGTCGGCCATTTTGAATTTTACGTCAAATTTTGGATGATTTACACACTTCGTACTTTAACGAACTCCTCCTAGGGATTTAGTCCGACCGACCTCAAATTTCTGCTGTGCCTTCTAAAGGCATTGAAGATGAAAAGTTGTGCTATTTGCGAGTTTTCGTAAATAGGCGTGTCCGTGGCATGGCGTCAAAGATCAAGTCTTCGCCATGACACAGGAAGTTGTTGTAACTTCAGTGTACATGCTCACATCTGCACCAAACTGTACATGTAGGATGAGAGTCCCGCCCTGAACACATGTACATGCTGACATTCACCCACAGTCATAGCGCCACCTGCTGGCAACAGGAAGTGACTTTTAACGAAGCAGCTCCCGCCGCATGTTTCACCTACATGCACGAATTTTCTGCGGTACGTGTATCTTGTCCAGATGCACAAAAAAGTCTCTTGGAGCCATAGCCTAAACCCAACAGGAAGTCGGCCATTTTGTAACTTCAGTGTACATGCTCACATCTGAAACAAACTTTACGTGCTTGATAACTCTCCCACCCCGCTATGGAGGACCGATCCTGACACAGTCAGAAATAAATACAGAAATAAATAAATGCTCAATAAATAAATAAGCATCCAATTAAATACACAAAAAAATAAAGTAAATAAATAAATGTTGGTAGTAATTAAATTATACAAGGAGACATAAATGTATATATTTTAATTAGTGCCTTTACTTATACACCTTTGTTATAATTACCTTATTTATTTATTCTCCATTATAATCTTCAACTTTATTTATTACTAATTTTTTAAATGTATTTATTTATGTGTGTGTTAAATTATTTTTGTCTGTTTTATTCTTCCTTTGTATTTATTTACCTTATTTATTTTCTTTCTCTTTTATTTCTTCCTGTCCTTTTTAAATTTCTGTATGCATTTCTGCCTCATTATGCAAATGAGGAGGTGCTGTGTCTCAAGGGGTCATCTTCTCTGCTATTGGTGGACCAGTCAGACAGGAGAGCTCCTACTCTGCCTGCAGACATCAACGATCTTGCCCCTCACACAGTCAGATGGCTTCCTTCAGTGCGCTGAGGTGTTTAACAACTCTGAAGGCAATACTACCAGCCATGTCTTCCTTCTCTTTTCACGTAGACGCTCCGACAGACAGTGCTTTCAGTTTGCTGCATGCATGGACACAGAACTGCGGTATAGGGAGAAGCACACGGTCAGCTGGCTGCAGCTAAATCTGGAGTGCACTCGTATTCAATTCTGTATGGTAAATTCAGTTTTAACGGAGCAGAGCGAGCTGACAGGCAGAGTTAGAGATTCTATCCACTGTTCTCCCATGCTCTAACACACAGTAACGATGAAATGTGTGCTGTTCTCACATTCTTCCTCTGTATGTACACATAAACAACAAGGCAGGGAAATATAAAAGGAATTTATTTTATTGTTTGGGTACATTATTGTTCAGTATACATGCTCACATCTGAACCAAACTTTACATGCTTGATAACTCTCCCAAGCCGCAGACATCTACACGCCAATACCGATTTATATTCATAGCGGCAAGTGCTATGTAGCTCCACATAGGGGACACAGGAAGTGACATATAACACCTTCATGTGGCGTCGGAACCGCGTAGCAAATTCACAGCCGCACCAGCAGAGCTCCAGAATATGCAACGCGGCCGGCTCACACCCGGAAGCGCTACAAGTGCGAGGGCCCGCCCAACGCTGCTTGCAGCTTTAATTTGATGTGCTTTTGTTTTGACAGCAAATCTCAGAGAATAGGCGTGAGAGTGAGAGTAAATGAGAGGTGAGGTGAATTGAAAGTTTAAAAGCGCTTCCCTTTGTGGATGAAACCAGGTGCCATTCTGTTGAATTTCTTTGTGTTTATTTTAAATCACTAAGACATCTTTGGTGCTAAGTGCTCAATGCTGTGGTATCACTTCCTTGAAAGCTCCTCTCAATCAAAATGTTTTGTATTCTTCTGTTTATTCCAAAATAAAACTGCTGCTGCTGGAAAAAAAAAAGGCATCACTTCCTGTGAGCTGCCAGGGCATCCCTCCCATCCCCGGGGATGACCTACAGCGCTGAGCATTTAAAACAGCAAACATAGTAGCTTTCATGAGCAGAGAACAGGCTGAATGACTGTTGTGTTAAAGGGCTTGGCAAAAGCGAGCAGCAAAAGGGTTTGTGAACTGAGATGAAATCTTTTTGGCCAGTTGTGCTGTTGCCAGACAGGCTTCCATTCATCTGAAAACGATGCATGTAGCATGTTGGATTTGGTCACATATAACCCTCCAGTGCTCCCCTCTCTCTCATATATATAGCAGTGTTGATAACATCAGGTTATGCTGCTACTAGCAGTGAGGGAATTGTTCGATTCACTGCACTGACTGAAATGCTGCTACTGTACACATGGCTGGAGGAGACGTTTATTCTGGTAGTGAGTCTGAAATCCACCTCTTTTCTTAAGCTAAAGCCAAATGGATGAAATGATTTTTCAAATTTACAGTAATTCAGTCCCATACAAACAATGATTTTGATTTAAATGCTATTATCACATTATTAGTTGGATATTTTATCAGAACCTTTCTTGCCAGACAATAAATTGAGATTAATACAGAATACATTACTTTATACCCACTAACTTTAGCTAACTTTAGCTTCATAAAGTTTTTAAAACAGAACATAATTTTGCTCTGTGGTATTTCAGAAATAAAAGTCATGTGGAATAAATTAGTAAAGTTCTGAGCTCCCCTGTGCAGGTATCATCCACAAGTCAATGGCTTTGGTCTTTCTTTTGCTATAGAGAAGGAAAAATCAGCTTAGTCAGTCATTGCATATTTCACAATAAACTTCCACTGGAGTGTTTTTTGAATATCTTCTTGAGCGTCTGTTTTCCACCATCTTTTCAGTTAGAGCTGGAGGGGAGAGATTCTTTGATCAATTAGTTATAGGCTACTTTGCAATATTGGAGAATATAGTGTAATAAGCAACATGTGCTCAAAATGAAGAATACACAAGGACCTGCAGGTCAACTAATGGAGGCTCCTTATTGTTTCCTTATCCTGAAAGTTTCTGTATCACATATTTCAACTCGTCTTAAATGTTTTAAACTTCATCATCATCATCATCATGTTAAATGTCAATAATGAATCAAAAAGCAATATCTTTATATCACCACCACATATTTATCTCAATAACAATACTATAAAAGTGAATCAGTCTGTGTAGTTATTAAGTGTCTTATAACACCGTGCAAATACTCTCTTCCTCTGCAATGAGGTCAATTTCTGACCAACAGGATGTCTTATACCTTCAACTTTTGTCCTCACTCTTCAGCTTTTAGTCTTCCATGCAAGTTGGCAGCAGATCAAAATCGCACGAATGTTTTCTCCGTGCCACAACACCCACGTGAGACCTCTTTGGCTCTGACAGCAGACTCTATCTTGCATCTATCTTTCCCCCTCTTCTCCTCGGTTTTGAAGGCCAACTTGCACTCTGCACCTCCAGCTTCTGCTACAGACCACTCCTGTTGCAGCTCGCAGTACTTCAGCATTAAGTGCAATTTTTAAGTACTTGAACTTGATTTGAGGGCGTCCATGTTATGCTACATTTCATAGGCAAATGTGTACTTTACAATAGTTTTCAAATTCAAGATTTTGCATAAGAAAAACAAGTACTTTAACTTGTTTTGACCCTTTGAAAGGGGCTTGACCACTAGTTTGGGAACCCTTGGACTAAACTAGCTAACTGTAAAGTAGTTAGAAGATGAAGAAGACATACTTTATTAATCCCTCTGGGAGAAATTCAATTTGTTCACAAGGATTGTAAACGAAGGACTTAAGTAAAACATGTGAGTACTTCTCACACCAACTGTTTACTTTGTTGTGACTTTATGAGACAAATGATCTCACACCACGATACTCAGTACTATCTGATCTATTACATATATATTTTATTATTTGGGATTCATGTATGGCAGCGACAATATCGGCAGAGCTGTAGCCCTGGAGCAGCCGCGAAGCTGCTGTTTGTGCCTTGTTTCAGTAGAACTAACGCTCCTTTATATGAAGCAGCTTATAATAAATAACCAGCCAGGCATTCAGTGCCTCACTCAAGGACAAATGTGGGCTGATGGACACCCTGACTGCATGCAGAAATCATTAAATCCACTCAATATGTGGATCTTCTTTATAATACTTAAAAATATACAGTAAATTGGGAAATGTACACTTGTTTCTTTGCACAGCCTAGAAATTCCCTCAAACATTTTAATATTGATGAGACACTAGAACTGAATATTTATGTGCCAAAATGACACC